AAAAAAAAAAAAAAAAAAAAAAAAAAAAAAAGGAGAGAGATTTAAAGGTGGCCTGGCAACCCTTGGATGGTTTTCAGTCCATGCTACTCCATGATTTGAATCATTCTGTAATGCTCTCCACCCAGGAGAGGAACATCCCCAGCTGTGTTCTTGGCTTTAACAGAGCTCCTGAGGCTTGGAAACAAATAACCCAACTGAAGCACAATTGAGAACACAAACAGAGAAGAAATGATCCACTCTTACCTTCCCAATGAGCGAAGAGGCTGGATCAGGCACATCCTCGCATAGCGCACAATTCTCACTAATTGTTGGTTGAGAGTAAGCCAAATCCATTCATATTTACTAAGCCCATGAGCACATTCAAAGTTGAATATAAATGCACCTGGCAATGCCGTAACTACAAGAGATATTATAGGATAAAAGATATTCCCTGGAATAAGATCCATGCAAGATTGAAAGGAAACACCAAGAGCATTTCAGATGCAAGGATAAAAACTCAAGGCTTGGAGAAGGAAATTGGAACGGGTGCTACTGGGACAGGGAGGAGCTGGGCTGGGGGTTTGTGGTGGAGGATGAGACGCAGTGTTGGAGGGTTATTGAGATCAGACCATGAAAAGTCTTGCCTGGGATTTGCACTTGAGTCTAGGTGGGAGGAATCATATTTAGGAGTTTCATTTTTTCTTTAGATTTCTCTACCCCTTAATATACTCTTCCACACAAATGGCTATGTGTGATGAGTGGGAAGATTTATATAGGGATGGCCCCAACTGAGCAGATAGGACATATATCTCTGAATCTCTCCTCTTTACATCTAAACCTTTCCTTGTCATAGAGAGAAACTTGGAGGCTCCCAGCGAACCAGACAAGGCCAAACAGGACATGCTCATGATGTCAATGACTGAAGAAAAACCCTTTTCCATCCAGGTGTGGAAGCTCACACCTGTAATCTCAGCATTAGGGGAGGCTAAGTCAAGAGACTCACCTGAGCCTAGGAGTTCAAGACCAGCCTGGGCAACATAGCAAGATTCTGTCTCTACAAAAATAAATTTTAAGGCCGGGCGCGGTGGTTCACGCCTGTAATCCTAGCACTTTGGGAGGCCAAGGTAGGTGGATCACCTGAGGTCAGGAGCTTAAGACCAGCCTGGCCAACATGGTGAAACCCCATCTCTAAAATAAATAAATAAATAAATTTTAAAAAAACATAAACCTTTTCTACAGCCTCTCCTGCCTTCTTCTTTTTCTCCATTCCTGAGTTATCTTTCATTCTCCCATCATAGTCTGCAGGTTGAGAACCTCCTTGTTATTTTAGAAATGGTACACAGGAGCAGAAGAGAGTTAGACAGAGATCAACTCATGGGGGTCTTTGCCAACTGGGATAACAATATAATATCTAGTAAGCAGCAGTGCTTTGATTTGAAAATAGTATTTGTTTTACCACTAATGGTGAATGATATTGGGTCCATCGATGATATAAATTTCCTTTCAAAATAAATGTGCCATATTTTTTAAAATAAGTCAATTTAAGGAAAAATTATTAAGTAATAGTATTACAGGGCTACTGCAGATGCCCTTAGAATGACATACAAATGATTGAAGGTTAAGAAACCATGACTTATTACATTTTATCTGCAAATATCACTCAATCACATTAACTCTTTCTCAGGACTTAAATGGTCTGAATGAGTTAGAAAAAAAAAAAAAAAAAAAAAAAAAAAAAAAACAGCGTCCAGGCATAGTGGCTTACACCTGTAATCCTAAGACTTCAGGAGGCCGAGGTAGGTAGCTGGCTTGCGCTCAGACATTCAACACCAGCCTGGGAAACGTGGCAAAGCCCCGTCTCTACCAAACACACAAACGTTAGCCAGTCGTGCTGGTGTGCAACTGTCCAGCTACGTGGGAGGCTGAGGTGGGAGGATCACTGGAGCCTGGGAAGTTGAGGCTACAGTGAGCTATGATCCCGTACTCCAGCCTAAGCAACAGAGTGAGACCCTGTCTCAAAAAACA